TAAAAGAAGACTTGAAAAACAAAATTTTTTGTTTTTCTTGTATAGTTGTATTTTGGGTGAATTATTTCAACGTCGACCTTTATTTCAAGCACAACGTGAAGATGATCAATTAGAAATGATTTCACGTTTATGTGGTTCACCAGCACCAGCAGTATGGCCAGATGTTATAAATTTACCTTTATTTTCAACATTAAAACAAAGAAAAATTTATAGAAGAAGATTACGTGAAGAATTTCAATAGTATTATTTATTTTATAAATGATTTTTATTTAATATATTTTCATCATTATTTTAGTCTTGTTGAACCTGCTTTGGATTTATTAGATCGTATGCTTGAATTAGATCCATTAAAACGAATAAGTGCATCTGATGCTCTACAATCATCTTGGCTTAAAAATATTAGTGACGATACAATGAAAGCACCACTGTAAGGATTAATTTTTCTTCTTCTATATATATATATACATATAAATATGTCTTTAGCTTACCAACTACCCAAGATTGTCATGAAATGTGGAGTAAAGAACATAAACGATTATCACGCCGTGGTTGGGATGAAAATCAAATTCAAGCACATTTTAAAGAGCGTGAAATTATTGAATATCAACGATATAATCTAGCAAACGGTATATAAATTAATAAAGCAAAAACTTATGTTTCAATATTTTTATTTTAGATATGCAAATGGATAGTCCTGATCCAACAAATATTATTACTGACAGGTAGATTATTATTTATGGAATTGATGTCAAAAGAAAAAGACATCACCCTAGACAGAAATACATTCAAAGTATTGACAATTGGTTTAGAGACTTTCTTTGCTATTTAGAGTTTTTTATTATTATTATTATTATTCTTTCTGTAAATGAACTATTTCCTCTCTTTATTTTTTTTTTAGTCCAAAACAACAAAAAGATAATGTTGTTTCATACCTTCAATCAATTGAAATAGTAGGTTCAACAGCATCATCAACAAAAAATGATACTAATATATAATTCTCAAAAATTTGAACACAAAATTAAATGATTAATATTATTTTCTTTGTTATCATCTTATTTTTATTAAACAAAGTCGAGAAATATTTGATATCATATCGATGATGCCATAATCGTTCATTTGTCAATTTGAATATTAAAAAAAAAAAGAAATTGTGTATGTGAAAGTGTATTTGTGTATGCGTCTATATCGATGTCTCTCTCTCTCTCTCTCTCTTGTTTTTTGTCTATTATTCTTTTTTTTTCTATGTTTTTCTTTTTCTTGTCAAGTAACTTCCAACATTGGACGTAATCAGTTCATTACACACCCGACGAAATTAAGACATAGTTTTCATATAAAACAGGTGTTTTATTTTCTTTCCAGAAATGAATAATAGAGAGAAAATTGTAGATGAAAATTGACGATCAGGAGAAATTCTACGGTTCGATTGTAAACTATATGATTATGAAAAGATTCATTTTCGAAATCGAGAAAAAAGAAACAAAACAAAAGTTTCAAATTTAAAAAAGTAACTAAAATATTTTTCTCATTTCTACAAATCTTCGTTAGACGCTGCTAAAAGAAACTGAGTAAGTTCTAAAAAACATAATTAACATGTCGCGTGGGTGCGATGATCTGTTACGCTCATATTGGATCATTACTAAGACATTTCAAATTTAGCTTAATGAAGATAATCGGCATATGATATAGACAGTTTATATCAATAGAAAAGAAAAAGCACATTAAGGAATTTGTTACACAATACTAAACAAACTTCTTTTTCATCATATCTAAAATGCTCTAAGTGACATCTATTGACATATTCTAAAATAGAAAATATTTCTACTATATAATTTTTCTGTCTCTAGGCTCATCAACAACGATCCACTGTAATTTAACATATGTGGCATATATAATACACCTTTGCTCTCAAAAAAAAACAAATAACAACGGTCAACTTCAATGCATCATTAATTATTCTTGTGTATCTCAAATAAAACAAAATGTTCAGATATTTAATTTTGTTTTTGGTTGCTTGTTTGTGTCTATATTCTTGTCGAAAAAAAAAAATGAATGAATGAATGAATTGTGCGAAGCTGATGCAGTCGCAAACAGGAAAAAGAAAATACACACAACCGGCACACAAGAAGAAATATACAACAATAACAACATCAAGAAGAAATAAGAACAACAATAAATTTTCAATGTGTCAATGTACGAATGAAAACAACAACAAAAAAGAAACATCTTCCTTGGTACTTTTTTCAATCATGACCAAAAAGAAAAAAAAAAAAGAAAGCAAATAGGATATATCTGAATAAACTATATTTCTATTCTTGTTCATCTTCCTCTTCATCCTCTTCATCATCATCACCACTTTCATTAGCATCTGATGCAGCAGCCGCAGCTCTTCGAGAATTTGATTTACCAGCTGAAGCTTTTGAATCACCTGAAAAAGATAATATTTTTACATTTACTTTTCTATCGTCTTCAATGATTTCTTACCTTCATCATCTTCACCATTTTCTCCCGCATCTTCTTCATAATCATCCTCAGAGCCATCTTCTTCGTCATAATCCTCAGCATCTTGATCATCACCGGCTACCTAAAAAAAAACAAAAACAAAATTGTTTTTTTTTTTTGTTTAACTTTAAATTTAATTCTTTAAAACTTACATCATCATCATCATCATCATCATCTTCATCAGGTAAATTATCATCACCATTTTTATGATTTGATGATTCCTTACCGACTGGTCGATCACCATTTGTACCATTACGTGTAGCTTTTAATGCTTTTAATTTTGTTGGACTTATATCATCCAAATCAGCTTCACGTTTTGTTCCTTAAAAAAAAATTTTTTTGTTTTAAATAAAAAATACTATTTAAAATTTATTATTTTTTACCTTTCGTAGGCGTAACCGTCGGTGAAGACAAAGCATCAGTTGAATCGGCCATTGATCAAATTTAGTTATTTTAATATAAGAAGAAAATAGTAATGTAAAGTATGCGAGGATAAATGTAAGAATCAAGTAGACATAGACCCAACACAAATAGAGAAAGAGAGAGAATATGACAAGCAACTATTTCTTCTCTTTTCTTTTCTCTGCAGCGATTGCCGAATGTGTGTATATATCTGTGCGTGTATGTGTATGTCGTCGTCTGTCCTCTCGTTTAGCTCGTTTCTTTTATATGATGCTATGTGCGTGTCCTTTCGCTGTTGCCGCCATTCTTTGGCACATAGTCATATAGCATAATGAGAGAGAAAAAGAAAAACGAAGAAAAATCATCGTTCGTTCTTGTGTTTTTCCACCAATCCATGATTCTTCTTCTAGTCGACAATAATGACGTTATACGGGCAAAATATGGCAAACAATAGACTTTTCTTTCTTTTTTTTTTTTCTATATAGTCGAGAGAAAACGACGGCTAAGGTGACGAGCATACTGTGAATTGAATAGCGGCAGTGCAAACGGCGAATAAATTTTATGCTGTTGTTTTAAGCCAGGAAAAAAACACCCACAGAAATGAAAGATATTTGGATAGCAGCCATATTTATTCATAGGAAAAGAAAAAAGGATAACATCTATTAATATTGAATAGGTTGATGTTTTTAATATTTGAATTCATTAAATTTATTTGAGATTTTTTTTAAAAATTAGTCTGATTGAAAATAGTTCTTTTGTATTTGAGAAGCATTTGAGAAAAGAATAAGATTATTATGCAAGAATTTAAAAGAACAAGTAAATAAACATAAAATTAGGTCAACTATATTTTATATGGAAAAGTTTATTATACATGAAAATGTAGTGATAATTGTATTGCAATTTCTTTTTTTTTTTTCTTTTTGAAATAATTAAGATAAATTGTATTTCTGTATGCAGAATATCGAATATTTGAATAGGGAAAAAAATGCTTATCTAATCGAGGGATTTTGTGTTCGTGCTCGACCTTATTTTTGATGGAATTTGACCATACAATGATTGATAATACAATGATAAGAACGTTAAATAACGCAAGAGATATCTTCCATTTTTAATAATATACTTGCCTTTCAATATATTTTAAATTAGAATATCATTTCTAATAGTAATTATAAAATACAATTTGTGATTGTATCACATTCGAAAAATGAGTAGAGAACATGCATAGTATTAGAGAGGAAATAAAATGAAAGAATGGAGAAAGCTAGTTGAATGACGTACTCATACTAATGTACGTTAAACAAATTGGCCAATCGAGTATTAGATAATACAAACAAATAGATGTAGACTTTCATATTTCTTTTTTTTTTCTTACATTCTATTTATAATTATTCAAATCAATAGTGTAGTAATACTTTAGAGATATCATTCTATAAGAAAAATTTGTTAAAACATATTTTTTTTTGTTGTTGTTGTTGTTGTTGTTGTTTTTTTCATATATCTTTGTATGAGATATTTATTGGGATCAATAAATAGATTGGTTTATAGATACTTATTGAATTCGATTGACATTCAGGTGTGATATTCTCATTGTATTATGTAAACAAATTTGTATAATCAGCTTTCTTTTGTTTTGTTTTTTTGCTATTTTGTTATTGACACATCATTGTTAGAAAAATGCTTGTTATGTCTTTTATAAAGATATATTTGATGATTGTTGTTGTGTAATTATTAAAAGAGATGAGATATTCAACAAAGTATAAGTATCGCCTTCGGCATGCAAATAAAAGATCAATACTAAGATTTAAATAAATTCATTATGATATTGTCGTGATAAAAGAAAAGCAACAAAAAGAAACTATGTTTGACATGCAAATTGTTTTATCTACTTTCATGTTATTTGACATTTTGTATGAGTTAAATACTTATTTGAAATCATCTGATTATTTTATTCATGTTTAAGAATCTTTTCTCGATCTTTTTTTTTTGTTTATAATAAAGATTATCAAGTTTATTGTAATGAAAATACAAATGAGAAAATATGATTTTGTTCTATTTCATATATATGTATATAAATATTTAATCCTTAGATGTATGGATTCTTATTTTGCTGCTGGACGTCGAATAGCATTCATTATTTCTGATGTTGAACTATTACTTAATTGTTTAACAGTATTATTATTCATTGATATTGATGATATTGATGAATTTGTTTTTGGTGGTACTTTTCCAGGAATACTTAGAGTAGTATAAAGATTAGTAAAAAGTGATGTTAATAATAATGGTGCTTGATTTTCTAAAACATTAACAATTTTTGTTCCAACATTTGGATTAAACATTTCTTTAAGACCAGTTGACATTATTTGACCAACAATAGTACCTATACGATCTAATGGAAGAATTGAAAGAACTGTTCCAGCTGTATCAACATTTGACATTGATTCATCATTTTGACGACGAATACGATCTTTATGAATAGATAATCTTTTTGATTTTGATTGCATAATTTCCTTTCGATTTTCTCTAAAATCTATACAATAAATAAAAGATACATAACAAACAAAACAAAAATTTGATGCAAAAATATCTTAACCTGCATCATTATTTCTTGCTTGGCAATGTTCAACTGTAATGCATAGAATTACTGTTACAAGAATCAATAAAATGATTTTTGTCATTGTCAATATCTTCGATTAAAATGAAGATAAAACATATTTTTGTTGTTGTTCTTATACAACTGTAAGTCTTGTACGTACATCCTCTTCATAAATAAATATGTACGATGTGCAAGAGAAAAGTAATCATGTAATTATCCGAATAATAAAAGTAACTTGCACTTTTAATCAATATATATACATATATATTGATCCAATAGATGTAAATGTTTACGTCAGTCAAATATAAATCGGATGATGTAGCATTTTTTTTTTATCCTTTAATATACTCATCGACTTTATCATTATAAATTGAAAAACAGATTTATTTTATGCGTAGGAATGTCGTATTTGACTGATTATCGTGAGTAAACATTTATTTTTGAATTGAATATGCACAAGAAAAAATCGAAATAATAAATTGATTGTGATTAATGTTTCGAATTTACATTAAATATCTTAAACTAAATCTTGAATACACTAATTATCCTTCAAGTATGTCCTGAAGTTGCTTGGATTGAATGGAGTCGATGACTCAGAAGACTAACTGGAAGATTTTTGTTAAAGTTCACTGGATTTGAGGGAGAGGTTAAGAACCTTTTAAGGAATTGGTGAACAAAGAAAACAATGCAACGTTGAAGAAAAACAAAAAGTTTTCAAGATTCGGAGGGGGTATGTCTATATCCTTAGCGATACATTGTAAGACTGTATGATGTAGAGCCAAATAAGCTATAAATACCTTAAGAAGAGTTCGGAATCTTAGTTTTTTTTCAGCTTAATACTGTGGCCTTCTTCAGAAATAATAGAAAAACTGTTTTTTCGAATTTCGACTTGAAACTGTGCATAGAGATAAGGGCTTAGATGTTTCCTTCATCCACAGGTATTCTCGATAAAGCATATTCGAAAAAATGGAAAATATGAACAATAATATCGAATTAATCTTATATAACCTTTATTATTCTTTCGTAGGATCTCTTAACCTACATAGTATATCTGAAGGTTTATTTTTATACTTTTTTTTTGTGAGCGACTTTTGAGTTTGGTGAAAGAGTCCGACACTGGGTGTTAATAAAGTATAAGTCAATGAGCAAAAATCCAGTAAATCATTTGGTACTAGCATGTTAACATAATAGTTGTTAGTTCGTAAAAAATTACTGTTTCTGATTAATTTCTAATTTTTAAGTTTTTGATCTGTCAACTCTAGTTCCTATTCTAAAATATGACTGCAGTAAAAGCATGTCTTTCACATCGTTTAAAAACACCTGCAGACTTCATGTTCTTATTTAAGGATAGAAGCAATTGAAAATACTTGAAACTTTTACAATGAACTATCCTTTTTAAAGCCTGTCTGAATGCAAAGTTTCAAGTCGAAATTCGAAAAATCAGTTTTTTTTGACGTTCGTGAAGGGAGACCAGGATATTGACTTGAAAAGTACCATAAAGATGCCGTATCTTCGTAACAGTAGGTTAAGAACTCGGACTTTCTCTTAGGGCATTTATTAGGGTCCGCGTGATGCACATAATCCCGAATCAAAAATGATAAACCAGTTGAAACAGAGATGTCTATGGCAACGCAGCTGGCATAACGGTAGCGCTGCGGCAGCAGCAGATTTTTTTCAAAAACTATTGCGGCAGGTTTTTTAGGAAGAAATTTCAAAAATACATGAATTTGCACAAAATCTCGGTGTTCATATATGTGATATTGTAAGACTTAGCAAATCTGGTTGAGTAGCAGCAGCAGTTCTAGTGTGAACTACTCATGGCCTTGAATATCGAAACATTTTTTTGAATATTATCACCGCAGTGGCAAGTCTTTTTAATAGTGCATCGCAGTATTTTTTCTTGGTTATCATCACGATGCGGGAGCGGTAGATTCTCAATCGCGATGAACATCTATGAGTGGGAAGACTTCCCTCGTAAGATCAATCTACGTTCATGGTAAGAAAAAGTCATTCGAGCCACCATGGTTGAATGACTACGTTGTTCGGCAGGTATCCACAAAGTACTGTGCTCAAACCTTGCTATCACCAGCCAGGATATGCCCTCTGACTAAGTCACTAAAGGCTGTTTGTCTTGGATCATCCATCTAATATCATATTGACTACGTGATGACATACACCTACTCTTTTAGTCAGTTAGTGTGTGTGTATGGAGAGCTCAAGGATTTGAGCGCAAGAACTCTACATAAAGTAACTGAAAGGCAAGGGTATTCTTTCTTTCTTCCTGACAGTCATTTTATATAATCTTGGCTTATTTTTGTATATACAGCCCTGAACAAAAGTCCCGCAACTAGTCAAAATGTACCTAAATAGTAGCTATTCACCCTGAAACTTTAGCCACAAGTAGAACTCGATGAATCCTGATCGCAGACGAGAGTTCGGTCTCTACCACCTTGATAAGGCTGAAATATAAGATCAACATCAAGTATATTTTCATGTGGTGATATCTCGAGTTAGAAGAGAGATTCAATGGTGTTGGACTCATCATTGGGAAGTTCACGTCTTGTTCTCTTCTCAGTTAAATTTTCAATGCAAATGGATGTTCCATTGTTAAGTTATGAATCACATTCTTCATCAACTTATTGAAACTGAATTGTTATCAACCTACTGATTTTGACTTGAATCTCGGGCTAGGCTCAATTATTTGCTTTGAAAATTGTATCACAAAATGCTATGCTCTATACAATTCTTCTCTAAAATTTTCAGAATTACAACTATCAGGAAAATGAAGATCGATAACATTTTGTATCTAAAAATTGACAAGTTCCGGAAATCGTTAAATAAAAGTATTTCGAGCTACTCTTTGTAGCATAAGTAGGTCACCATCAGAACTACCTATTGCATAAAAAATATGACTTTGATTCCATCAACTAAAAGAAAAACACTATAAGTTTTGTTTACGACCATTTCTCGTTTTAAAATAAAAAAAATAACATTAACTTCTAAAGATTACGCAAATTCCTTATTTTTTATTTTCTTCAACTTTCACTAAATTCAGAACGCTTTTGGAAATATTCAATGAAAGGTACTTTCTCATTTTATAAGTAACACATTTTTATCATTTGCTACTCAGATTGTTAGGTGCTTCATCTACAGTCGAAATTTTTATTGTTTAGTTATCGAAAATGAACTAAAAGAATGATAATATCATTCACAGGATTGACCCAAGACCCTCATCTGTATTTTGGAGTAAAGCAATGCCATCTTTTCGCCATAGTAATTGCTTTTAATTATTGGATACTCTTATAGTGGCGAATTTTTCTATATTAGTGTATTTTTTTCTCAGTCTTGAAACTAAAGGAATTCATTGTACAAATTTTTCTTTCTGCAATGTCTCTTGAACTACACCAGCAATACGAAAGCATATTTCTGGCAAAACATAAATATGGACCTAAATTCGGTATTAATTATATTGCACAATTGGTGAACTGTAAACGATCAATAGTCATTCGTTGGTTAAAACGGTGGAATCAAACGAAGATCTTAGTGATCAAGGAAGACTACGATAAACAACAACACAACAAAATAAAAATATTATCGACGTAGTTACACAAGATACAGATGAAGGATTATCCACTGAGCAAATACGAGAACAAGTGCAAGATGATGGTATCAATGTTAATGCACGAACAATACGTTGACGACTGAGAGAAGCAGGTTTCAAATACTCCAAACCTCTTCTAACTGAACAGCATCAGAAAAAACGTTTAGCATGGGCCAAGTCATTAGTAAATTATAATTGGAACCAGGTGATTGAAAGTGATGGAACAGTGTTCCGTCTTCATGATGTTAAAAGGTTCTATTGGCAGCGTCCAGGTGAACGCAAAGTCTGCCGAAAAATTAGATACATAATCAAACTGAATGCATGGTGTTGTTTATTTTCGACTGTTTACGGACGAATCATTTGCTTTAAAAACGACTTGACAAGCGCTTTTTTATGTAATAATATCTATCGAAATGTTCTTCTCTCTACAGCACGTGAACATTTCGGCCGTAGTCGACATTAGTTGTTGATAGAGCATAATGATCCTAAACATCGATCAAGATTTAGCGTGAAGTGGAAGAAAGATCATGTCGTCAACACATTACCTTGGCCATCGATGAGTCAGGATATGAATTCGGTTGACAACTTGTGGTCTTTACTAAAGATCAAAGTTGCTCAACGTCGACCTACAACAGTCAAAGGACTAGAAAGAGCGATAAAAAAAGAATGAAATAATTTTCCCCAAGAATTAGCATCAAATCTTACGGATAGTATGGTAATACGTGTTGAAAGTCTCATCGAGGCCAATGGTGATTACATCATGTATTGAGATATATGATTTCATACTAATAAAGAAAATTGAATATAGCAAGTGTTTAGCCTTGCTAATTGCAGCACTACAAAAGATCATGATTTTCAATGCTGTTTTATCGTCGAATATTTCTTTTGCCATTGTGATTTGATCGATAGTGTTTCACCACTGGGACGTGAATGAAGCACCTAACAATCTGAGTAGCAAATAATAAAAATGTGTTACTTATAAAATGAGAAAGTACCTTTCATTGAATATTTCTGAGGCGTTCTGAATTTAGTGGAAGTTGAAGAAAATAAAAAATAAGGAATTTGCGTAATCTTTAGAAGTTAATGTTATTTTTTTTATTTTGAAACGAGAAATGGTCGTAAACAAAACTTATAGTGTTTTTCTTCTATTTGATGGAATCAAAGTCATATTTTTTATGCAATAGGCAGTTCTGATGGTGACCTACTTATGCTGCAAAGAGTAGCTCGAAATACTTTCATTTAACAATTTCCGGAACTTGTCAATTTTTAGGTACAAAATGTTATAAATCTTCATTTTCCTGATAGTT